GGCAAGCAGTAAATCTAGGTTAATTAAAAGAACTTGGATACAACAAAATATCTGGGAATATGATAGTCATTAAGTGCTCACCAAACCTGAGTCTCCACCTCTAGATACAGGAAAGTGATTATTCTTCTTGGCTGCTTTTTTTCTAGTTTGGGCCATATGATTAGATCTGACCAATGAGTTGTGAGCAGAAGTAAAGTGATTCTCACAATTCAAAGTATTTTATTACAGGGACCTCCAGAGATCTCTTTCTTTTTTGCCATGGTGAAAGGCAATGTTTGCAAAGTTAGCTGCTTCAACAGCCTGAATACAGGAGGAGACACTGAACAGAACCCCGCCTTCCACAATAACCATGTAGCCTAAGTGAGAAAGAAATCCGTATTATATAGAGTTGCTAGATTTGGAAGTTATTTTTTATTTATTTTATTTATTTACTTATTCTTTTTTTTTGAGAGGGAGTCTCACTTTGTCGTTCAAGCTGGAGTGCAGTGGTGTGATCTTGGCTCACTGCAATCTCCAAGTCCCAGGTTCAGGCCATTCTCCTGCCTCAGCCTCCTGAGAAGCTGGGATTACAGTCACCCACCACCATGGCTAGCTAATTTTTATATTTTTACAAAATACAAATAGAGACAGGGTTTCACCATCTTGGCCAGGCTGGTCTCGAACTCCTGACCTCAAGTGATACCCCTGCCTCGGCCTCCCAAAGTGCTGGGACTACAGGCTTGAGCCACCACGCCCAGCGGTATTTTTTATCACTTAGCCAAGTTTACCCTGACTCATCCACTTAGGCATTTTTCCTTCCTTTAATGGTACCAGGTCTTTTGTATTGTTCATTATACATGAATCTACTCTCGCATTAACTTTTCTAGAGAGTAATCTTGAAAATATTTAGAATTAGAATTCACTGTGTAAAGCCGTTGGAGAACCCATGACAAATCCTTACATTTATATATTTATATACCATAATCTGGAGAGAAAGTTCCTGAAGTAAGTTCTTTAAAGAAATAAGTTCTTTAACTTTTTTCTAGAATGGCATTTTAAATGTTTTGGACAATCCCAAGGAAGGTATTCAGAAAGTTACTCATTAGAGAAAAATTGGAAAAATACTATAAAGTGGTTTGAAAAAATATAATAAATGTGAACACTTATCAAATTGTTCCAAATTTACTTTGGTTTCTTTTAATAAACCTGAGCAAATCCCAATTTGCTCTCGGCATTTGATGTTTGAAGAGTTCATACATCCTGTCCTTTCCCTTCCAGACTGAAATACCCTAGAAATACATAAAAACAATAGAACCGTGGTATATCTAACTATATCTAATCCATTAGGTAATATCTTTGGTCATTCAGGAAATGCTCAGCATCTTAATAAATAGAGCCATATTTTATTACGAAAATTGAAATCTCCATGAACTACATGAAAGTCTGCATTAATGCTAACATTAAAAATTAGGACTCATGAAGTATTACAAAACTCCCAAGTATGAATATCCTCTTTTGTGACAAAGTTCCTTTTTGATGGGATATCTCTCAGTAAGGACATAGATACTATTCATGAGCATTTCAAGAAACATGACCGCATTTTAAGTTCAGATTAAGCACTAAATATTGTTTCTGTTTTCCTCTTTTGTATCTCTTATAGAATGCTGCAGCCTAGACTTAGAGCAAGCAAGGTTAGACTGCTTTAAATGTTTTAATTTTATTACACCAAATTGATGCAAACAATTGAAAAATGGTTCAAATTAATTTTAAATCTAATACATTTTCCCAAAAGATTGTAGGATTTGAACTTAGAAAGGATCAAATCCAGATCCTATCTCTGCCATTTATGAGCTATGTCATTTTAGGCAAGCCGCTTATCTTCTCAGTGCCTTATTTTCCTCTTTTGCAAAATTTCATCACTACAGTATCATTTAATTTATAGTACTGTTGTGAGGACTGGATGTGATAAGACGTGTCAGGCATTAAAAGTAGTCTCTTGGTTCAAACAAGCATTAAAAACATATGTTTCTATTATATTTGCTTTAAAATAAAATAACTGAACCATGGATGCATTCTTAAATACATGCAGTTGCTTAATTTTGGAAGAGGAATATAGAAATGTGTCACTTTTCACACATAGAGCTACAATTTTCCAAATATATGTCACTTGTTTCACATGTATCTAGAACTAAATAATCCCTACCATTTCTTCCTTACAGTGCTACAAGTAAAAAACATATTTCATGCGTTTTAAATTAATTAAATGTAAAGCAACTGGCCAGGCGTGGTGGCTCACACCTATAATCCCAGCACTTTGGGAGGTGATGTCAGTGGATCACCTGAGGTCAGGAGTTCACGACCAATCAGGCCAACATGTTGAAACCACATCTCTACTAAAAATACAAAGATTAGCCTGGCATGGTAGCACACACTTGTGGTCCCAGTTACTCAGGAGGCTGAGTCACAAGAATCACTTGAACCAGGGAGGGGAGGTTGCAGTGAGCCAAGATTACACCACTGCACTCCAGCCTGGGTGACAGAGCGAGGCTCTGCCTTAAAAAACTAAAAATGAAAATTAAAAAATGAATAAACTGTAAAGTAACTGAAAGATGAGACATAACTTGTGAAATCCAAAGGAAGATGGTAAGATCATGAAGTAGTTTTTGGTAGTTCTCTTTAGGAATTTCAAAAGTTTCAGTATTTAATTCAGTAATTTTCATCTGTAAATCCAATGAACATGTACAATATTTTAAGTTTTTGTTCCAACCCTGATAGACTGTCCACCACCATGGCAGTGGTGTCTTCCTGCCATCTAGTGGAAAAACTATACTACTACAGGCACACTTTTAAAAACTTAAATATAAGGCCCTCAAACAAAACCACTTCTTTTGTTTCTTAAGTTTTAAATCTTAAAAGTGGATCTGAGGGCTGGGCGCGGTGGCCCACGCTTGTAATCCCAGCACTCTGGGAGGCTGAGGTGGGTGGATCACTTGAGGTCAGGAGTTCAAAACCAGCCTGGCCAAGATGGTGAAACCCCATCTCTACTAAAAATACAAAAATTAGCCGGGCATGGTGGCGGGTGCCTGTAATCCCAGCTACTCAGGAGGCTGAGGCAGGAGAATTGCTTGAACCTGGGAGGTGGAGGTTGCAGTGAACCAAGATCGCGCCAGTGCACCCCAGCCTGGGCGACAGAGCAAGACTCTGTCTCAAAAAAAAAAAAAAAAAAAAACCTAAACCTGAGAAGAGTGACTTTGTGATATTATAAGCACTTTTTACATTTTATTTATTTATTTATTTATTTATTTATTTATTTTATTGAGACCAGGTCTCACTCTGTTGCCCAGGCTGAAGTGCGGGGTCGCAATAACTCACTGCAGCCTCCAACTCCTGGACCCAAGTGATCCTCCCACATCAGCCTTCTGAGTAGCTGGGACTACAGGTGTAAGCCACCACTTCTAGCTAATTATTAAATTTTTTTTTAGAGACGAGTTCTCGATACTTTGCCTAGGCTGGTCTCAAACTAGAATTATTTAAATTAAATGCAGTATGAAAAACACATGAGATATGAGAGAATATGTAAAAGGCACAACTTTCAAAGTTGAATAGTGTACCCCTATTAATATAAATACCTCTCCATGAAGAAATAGTGAAAATGTTGTGATGATAAATGTTTTGTAATACTTCATTAGTCCTAACTTTTAATGGTGCATCAACTGGAAATCTTTTTAAACAAATTTTCATACTTAGATCAAAAATATCCATTGCAACAATAATAATACAATAGCCAATGCACAAAAGAACAAAATGAAGCATGAAATATATATTTCCATATGTAAAAATGTAAACATACACTCACATAGTCATTTTTTAGTGTAATGGAAACAAGATGCCTATTATCATTTGCTATTTTGTGGTTACAAATTTGCCCAGGATTAAGAAATGGCCACACCAGAAAAAAATGATTAAAACCTCTAACATCAAGCACAGTGATTTTGCTATCACACAATGTTACCTTACTAACTTAAGGCTTCTTCACAAAATAATTATCAGATCTCAATTACCTAATATTTTCATTTGAAACCCAATTACATAAAATAATAGACATATCATAAGTGATTAATTTTTGAGCATTTTTCACAAATATACATGGATAGGTAGGTAGAAAGATTATTTTAAAGGAACATTTTAGACAATAGATGTTAAATACTCTGCTGAAAAAGGACACATCTGTGCGAAGGTGAGCAAAGTGATCTCCAAAAGGCAATCACACTCTAATACTTGTGAAACCTGAGGCCACATGGACCCAAAGCTGCAGTTCACCCCTCATCTCTTCCCATCCCTGAGTCTGTCTCATACTATGAGGGAGTTTCATACTAACGCCTCTGTGACACCCTAGTTCACACATAAAAACTCAGACCATGCCTCTCCCTATACACCCCACCTCCACCCTCATACTAAAAGCAGGTTCTACAATTTGGACCAGGAATAGGGCATCTTGATTACCTCCAATGTATGCAAGCATTGGATGGGCATTTCACATTGGTCCTCATAAGCTTCACACCAACTCCTCACCCTTTGTGGAAGGGCACTGCAGGAGGACAGTGAGGTTAGGGTCTACTAGGGACTAAGAGTGGTACCGGAGTCAGTGTGATTTACAAAAGGGTATTTTCTAGAGGGCTATATGGTGGAGAGAGGATGCGAAATAATGGTGTCAAAGGAGATCCTCATGTTCAGCATTTTTCCTAGTTTCTGTATTCAAGAGTCTTGTTCTAGAATAAAGAATGTCAAACTTTCCATGGAAGCAAGGAAGACAGGAACTAAAGACAGCTGTCATGGTGAACTCCATCCTGACCTAGACGAAAAATTTGTTTCTCTGACTTGTAATGTCAACTATGGAAACAAATTTTCCCTTCAAATATGAGGTGTTTATCCTGTAGTCTGTGTTCATTCCGCAAGAGGCATGAACATACCAGATATAGACAGTATTATTCTATTAGAGACAGACGTCTGTATATACTTACCAAACTGTTCATTTTTGAAGATGAAGAACCTGCTCTTTGCTTTCTTAAACTATTAACTTCTTCTATATTTCCATCTTTTGGTTTCAAAATCATTCTGCTACTCCCTGCAGTGCCTTCTGACGAGGATCGCAGTCTCCTCTCTATAAATCTTCCTTCACGAAATGGACTGAGACTACTGGCAAGAACTATGGAAAGGAAAATAAATAAAAATGAACGTAAATATTTAAATGTACTTTTTACAAATGTCCCACTGAGAGATCGCGGAAAACTCTTAGTGTTATTCAAAGCTTCTCTATCATGAGAAAACTTTTACATATATAGCATCAGTTTAGTTCACTTAATCATGTTATCTCTTTGAAGCCCAAAACTTTTGGAGTCATCCTTGGTTGCTTCATAGCTCACATTAATCACATAAACAAATCCTGTCCTTATTTCCTTCAAACTGTATACAGAATCTGATTCCTTCTACCTCTCTTTCTAAGACCCTGGACCAAATCCAATCTATGCTTGTTTGGTTACTGCAATATTTGCTACAATTCTCCTGCCTCTGCCTACTCCCATCTGCCTCTCCACCCCCAACACAAACTACATTCCACATGGTAGCCAGAATCATATACTTAAAACATAAATGAGAGCCATCACCACCACTCTTCTAGATAAAAGGTGATGTTTTCCAAATGGCATAACATATTCTTCATAATACGACCTATATGACTGCTCTTTCTGTCCACAAACCAGGGACAAGAGGGGCACCCTGTTCACCTGCTCACCTCTGTAACCTCATGTCCTGCTCTCCCCTCCATCACTCTGCTCCTGCTACACTGGACACCTGCTGCTCTGGTACATCACCAGCATGCTCCAGCCCCACACAGCCTTTGACCCACAACCTTGCACTAATATATTTCTCTCAAATATCTATATGACATATTCTTTAAGTTCCTTCAAACCTTTACCAATATGTTACCTTGGGTATCATCCCACTCACATTTAAAAATGCAAACTGCAATCCCACCTCTGCTTCCTAAGCCTTTATTCTGCTTTAAACTTACCCTCAGCAGTTATCACCATCTGATATAAATAGCATGTTAACTGAGTATCCCCGGTAGAAAGTAAGCCTCAGGAAGGCAGGGATCTAGGCCTATTTTGTGTACTGCTACATACCTACTGCCCAATATAGTGTTAAAACCATAAATATTTGCTGAATGAATGAATGAGTAAATGAATAAATTGTTCTAATTAGCCTCATCTACTAGTTTAAAGACTGTCCAGAATCTATTAGTCCAATACATAGCAGTTCTTTTAAAATAACTTTTTAAGCCAATGAATACAAGTTAAATTGTCAGATAACTCAACATTTTATTGTTAGTTCTGATATGATTGTACACCTAATACACTTAGATGTGTATCAAGTACTGGCTTAAATGTTTCATACAAAATACAAACTAAATTTAGCACTATGAAGGTTAGTGTCTACAGAAAATGTTTATTGGATAAAATGCATTTACTTAGCTGTTTTTAAAACTTTAAACTTCAAAATTATAAAATCCTTATAAATAGAACACAAATATTTTCACAAACTAAAGGATAGTATGCTGTCCTTGTTGACATTACCAGCTTATTTATTCAAGAATAGCCAACACATTATCAAATCAGCAAAATTAATGTGTTATTCTGTTACAATTAGGATCTGAATCAACATATTAATAGTCTCCAAGATAATTGGTCATTCTTTAATTTCCAGAGAGAGAAACATACACAGTATTCAATTAGGCTTTGAGGAAAGTCATCATTACTAAATAAGAATTAGATATGTCAGGATAATTAATTTCTATCCCTTTTTGATATAATTTAAAAACTTCCTGACTTTCAGTATCAAGTCCATCATTTGCTAACAATGTGACCCTATACAGTTATTTAACTTATTATAAATCTTAGTTATTAATATGACATGCAAAATTTTTATAAGGACTATATAAAATAGTGCATTCAATTTTCTTAGTACATTTTTGGGCACATATTAATTGTACAAAAGGGTAACCATCATTAATATCATCATCATTATCATATTCTCATGATTGTATTACAGGAAAAGAAGCTACGCATATATGACTAAAGCCAAGACCACAGACAAGAATACAAAGTTCAAAAAATGGACAAAACATGGTCAGGTGCATAAAAGTGATCTTGTATCAAATGGGAAAAGTATTAAGACAGCTGGAAAATTAAATCTTGTATTTAAAACTTTAAAATTTCATGTTTATGGATGAACTATATAATCCTATTACTTGTGACATTATGTTATATAAATTTTATTTCATATTTTAAGTCATGACATGTAGTAAAGCATAGTTATGGAGAGCCAGAGCTTTGGATTCAGAGTTGTAATTTGACTGCACTACTTACCAGCTGTATGATTCTTTAGCCTCTGTTCTCACATTTGCAAAATGGGAAACATAGGAGCCTACCTCACAGGATTTGTATCCCAATAAATGAATTACTAGTTTTGTGATTGCCGACACACAATTTACCTTTGCTCCCATTTTCTTGCCTGCAAAATAGCTTATAATAATAGTAGCAATTTCAATTATTTTAATTAATGTATATAAAGTAATATCTAGGACATAATCACCTCCAAATTTGGGGAAATTAGTAGTAGTAGTAGCATTAATGATAGCAGAGAAAAAGCAATTAAAATATGTATAAGACAGCCCCGCGGTGGTATTTTTCAATAATTATCTTGAACTGAATTTCATGTTAAAAAAACAAAATTTTCTGTAGCCATACTAGAGTAATTCATATATACTACCACTTTTTTTAAACTAAAGAGAAGGTGTCCAAAATTGCAGAGTTAATGTCAGAGGCAGGGTTGAAACCTGTCTCCAGCTTCCAAAGATAGGTTATTTTTAAGCTTACAATTCTGTTTTTGTATCTAGAGATAGGAATTATTTATATTGAAACACAGATCCTATTTAATAATGAAAGCTTAGTTAACAAAGGAAATAATGTTAAATTATACAAATTTTATAGTGATTTTAGCTGGAATATATCCATTTCACTAAATAAGAAATACCAATGCCTCTATAACAAACTCTATAAAAGACAGTCCTTACTTTGGAGAAATCCACATTGCAAACAGAATTAGTTTCCTTTCACTTTCTTCTGAAGGTGCTCCAATAAGCACCATAACTAAGAGGCTGCTTCTTAGTTATGGATAACATAACCAAGAAAAAATGAATAATATTGCTGAATTACATTTTCAGCATAATACAATTGATGTAAGTTTAAAATCAAGCAGGGGAAACATTTAACACAAATTATAAATAGGAAACCATTTTGAAAGTGAAAAACAAGAAAAATGTGGTTTCCATTTATGAGATGGAATAAGAAAACTGAATGAAGTATAATGAAAATCAATTCATATCATTTGTTACACAAAGAAAATCAGCATACCTTTGGCAGGATTTGCTTCATATCCATATGACGTTTTGTTAAAAATATGATGATCACCAGAAGTAGGTATTATCTTTGAATCTGAAATAGGATGGATCCCTTTAACATGTTCAGCTATTGCTTTATGTTGCTCATAAAATCCAAGTTTCCTTGGGGAGTCTGTCCCCAACATTGTTTCACTATTTTGTAACCCTATATTTTCTTCTCTTTCAGTATGTGCTGGTAGGTTACTCTCTGAGTGTCTCACACTTGTAGCAGGTAGTTCAGCAATTTGTAATAACACTTCCTTCTGATTAGCAGCAGAGGTTTCTGGTAAGGAATTAGATTCAGTGCTACATTGACCCTCTAACCTGTATTTCCCGGGAGACATAATTGCACAGGGGACAGTTCCCATAAGTTCTATTGTTGTCTTTGTAACAGCAGCAGGATTGAGAGACATCTGAGAGGTAGAATCATTGTGGCCAAAGTTGTCACAGTGGGATGCCATGCTTCCACTTTTAGAAAATGCATCCGTTTCAGACACAGAATCTTCAGTCAAGGCTAAAAATTCTGAAGGTGTCTGAGCTGTGGTAAGATCAGCAGAAAGCAAAGGAGATTGTAAAGAGCTTCCTGCCCGTTCCGTTACATCCACAGAGCAGGATGGCGAAGCTCTTACTAACACAGGTTCTCTCTCTTGGTACTGTGTAACTTCCAATGAGAATTCAGACTGCTGTACCAGTGAAATAGATTGGCTCTGTAGAACTGGCTTAGAAAATTTATAGTGAGATGAAAAAGATTTAGGGAGTAGCTTCCTTGTTGACTGCTTAACAGAACGGCGAGTATGGTCTTCCGTGAAACCAGAATCATCTCCTTCACTTTTGCCGGAACTTAGACAATTTATAAAGACATTCTTGTTAGTTGAGTGCTCTTTTTCCCTTTCAAAGTCCTCTGTCAAAGATCTTGTTATCTTCTTATTTCGTGAACTACTAAAACCAACAGAATGTCTTCCCCTGGTCTTAATATGTTCTTCCAAACTCAGTTTCTGCATATTGCTGTGACCAGGTTGAGCACCATTTGAAATACTAAGGTTCTGGTTGGTAGGTTCTTGCTTAGGCTCACTCCCCTTCTTATGGTGGAAGCTAATGGAAGGAGTACGGAATATGCTCCTCCGTTTACCTGTGCTACCTGAGCTTGAGTTAGTGCTGGAAGGAGAGGAACTGTGGACACCAACTGTATTACTGGAAGAAGGTGAAGAAGGAAGAGAATCATGTCTTCTGCTAATACTTCTTCTGAATATTGGCAACCGGGAGACCAGGGTAGATCGTCTTGATCCTGAGTCCCCCATTGGGACTCCAAGGCTTGCACTGTGAAAGCCAACTTAGCAGCCTGAGAAAGGTTAAAACAAAAAGAACAAGTCAATAGAATTCAAGTACAAATAATACATTTTAAAACAAAATACTGTTTTTCAAGACACGAAATAGAATTTGGTTTATACTAAAACAATCAATAACAAAAATCTGATACCTAATAAACGTTTTTGAATTTATAAGTAGTAAAAATGATCCAATAACTTGTACTGATATTTTATAGTGATGCAAACATTTTAAGATTAACAAAAATATTTAAAGTTTATTCAAGAGTGTTGGCTTTGGAGACACCAGGTATTTAAGACCCAGACTTACTACTTATAGCTGTTCCATAATTTTAGTAAACTGTTTATTCTTAACTTTTTATGTTTTTTTTAGATGCAGTAGGCACGTGACAGACATAATAATTTCTGTCTGGGTAAATGCACCACCATGAGTCTTGTCAGAGACCACTAAAAGTATTTTCATTTTATACCACATGATTCAACAAGTTCCTGATGGGAGCTCAACAGAATCATAAACAAGACAATGGTATAGCCTGACACCACAATCAGCACTCAAAGAAAAACCAATTGCTATAGACTTTTTTCTCTCTTTTTTTTCTCTCTCTCTTTTTTAAATTATACTTTAAGTTCTAGGGTATATGTGCACAACATGCAGGTTTGTTACATATGTATTCATGTGCCATGTTGGTGTGCTGCACCCATTAACTCGTCATTTACAATAGGTATTTCTCTTATTGCCATCCCTCCCCCTTCCCCCGACCCCACCACAAGTTTGATTTGGGAAGCTGAGAGATAAGCAGGCCATTGGAAGAAGAAACTAAATCACAAGGATATAACGTAGGGTTACAAACAAGTTAAACTTATGAGAGAACCACAAGTGTCACTTGAAGAAAATGCTTGAATAAAAACTAAGACAGTTGGTAACGTTGAGAGAAGTGAGAATACATACTGAGAGAATCAGAAGCATAGAAAATTTATGAACCATATTAATGTCAGTATATTCAGGGTATCAATGGAGAAGATAAAGGAGGAGAAGGACAAGGGTGAGGAGAGGTGGCAGCTACAACTCATCAACTTCGATGTACCAGGTACTTCCCAACAGATTATCTCTTTCACACCTTGTATTTCTAGAAATAGGTAATAAGACTATGAACATTTTACAACAGAAAAGCAACTTGTGTAATGTCATTCAGCCAACACCTGGCAAAACAGGAATAAAAAACCAAGCCTTATCTAACTACGGGGTAAGCTTATAATCAGCATGGTACATATTACATTCACTAATTAGTCATGAACTCCTACTGCTGAATGAAGGCCCTGCTATGTTTCTACATCAGGGATTCAAACTTGTACAGCAAATATTGTTATTCTAGTGACCACCATTTTTCACTGATTTTTAAACTGTACCTGATTTGGATGCTATTTTATTTATGAGTTTTGCTTAATCCTTCAACTGTAATGCACCCTCTCCCTTTGTAAATTGAATCAGACTCTGTTTCATTTTCTTAGTTTTTACAACCAAAACTACCTGACTAAAAATTAATACTATACAAAATTTAAAATCCTCTATTTTATCATCCTTGTAAATATGAGAATTGATCAAGTAAAATACTTTCATTTCCTTGAACAAGTATGTGACAAAAATGATGAATATTTGCTTTTAGATATTCATTCATAACTATTTAATATTTTTCTCCAAACAACATAAAATCTAACATATTTGTATTATAAGATTTTTAGTGGATGATTTTTCACTACAGTCAATGACTTTAATTTTAAAACTTGATTTTATTTTTAATTCACAGATGACAATTGTATATACTTATGAGGTATAATGTGATTTTTGATATGTGTTTATATTATAAAATAATTAAGCAAATTAACATACCTATCACCTCATATACATACCATTTTTTGTAGTGACAGCATTTAAAATGTACTCCTTTATCCATTTTGAAATATGCAGTACGTTATTATTAACTATAGTCACCATGCTGTGTAATCAATCTCTAAAACTTATTTCTCCTGTCTAACTGAAACTCTGTACCCTCTGAACATTATTTCCCCATTCCCCTGGCCCCAACACCCCAGCCCCCGGTCTTACCATCCCGGTCTCTGGTAACCATTCTACTTTCTACTTCTATGAGTTTAATGATTTAGATTCCATATATAAGGGAGATCATGCAATATTTGTCTGTCTGTGTCTAGGTTATTTCATTGAGCATAATGTCCTCCAGGTTTATCCATGTTGTGACATGTGACAAGAATTTCTTTTTTAGGCTGAATAGCATTTCATTATATATATAAACCACATTTTCTTAATCCATTCATCCACAGATGTACACTTAGGTTTGTTGTATATCTTGGCTATCATGAATAATGATGTAATAAGCATAGGAGTACAGATATCTCTTTGACATACTGATTTCAATTGTTTGGCTATATACCCAGAAGTAGGATTGCTGGATCATATGATAGTTCTATCTTTAGTTTTGGAGGAACCTCCATAACTTGTGTTTCCACAGAGAGCTGTGCTAATTTACATCCCCCAACCACAGTGTGGCAAGAGTTCCCTTTTCTCCATATGAATTTGAATTTAAAATCCAAACTATATGTGAACCACTCCCAAAACATTTCAGTATTCTTGTTAAGGCTTTGCTTGAAGAAAACCTAAAAACATAACATACATTTTTAAGCTCTTAAAAATTGTTCACAAATAAAAATGTTGTGATTTTCCCACAAGCTTAGATTTTCCAAAGTGGTATATAATGGAATATTACATGTTTTCATGACTATTTCTTTAAAATGTTCAACTAACATCATTCACAGCCATGATTTTTTTCACTTACATGCAACATTTTTATTTCCATTCAAATGCCTAATTGAAGAATTTTTCTCTAATTAGAACATAATCAACCATAATGATTGCATGCTGGTTGGGAAACTATAGCCTTCAATGCCTAAATGTCAAGATATCAACCATCCATTACTGAAATACTCAAATTATTGTATATTAAATATTGTGGCATTTTGAAGTATTTTCTGCATTTGGAGGGCAGATTAAAAGTAAAAGAGTCAGTCCCATATCTTTTAGCAAGTTTCAAAGGATCTAACTAACGAAAAAAAAATTTTAAACAATTTTATAATCCACTCTTGTTCTTTAAATACTTAATGAAAACACCACAACTTCCACGGGCACAGAAATAATTATTAGGTCGGTGGATATGTTTGTCCTAATCTTTAGTAAAACGATCATAGATACCAAAGTATCTGCACATTATGAAATAACCTGGAGTAGATACAAATCTACTAGAGATAAATATCCTTCACATGTCTTTTAATTTTTAACATGAACTTCATATTTCCCTTGAGAGCTTCCCAGCTAAATAAGGAGAAAATAAGACTATAGATCAGGAATTATCCATATTCTTAGGAAAGCTCTTTAAGGCTTGGATGCTGTCTGCATTTCCAGATTCATTTACTCTTCTCCTCACCACTTCATGATCCATTTACACGAGACTGTCATTTTCTTATCTTTCTTTCCTTTTCCTTTCTTTCTCTTTGTTTTTTGTTGGTTTTTGTTTGTTTTGGAAGCAAGGTCTTGCTCTGTCACCAGGCTAGAATGCAGTGGAGAGGAACATAGCTAAACTGCAGCCTCAAATTCATGTGCTCAAGCTATCCTTCTACCTCAGCCTCCCAAGTAGCTTAGGACTACAGGCATACAGCATCATGGCCCAATTAACTTTAAAAAAAGAGTTTCATAGAGACAGGAGTCTTGCTATGTTGCACGGCTGATCTCAAACTCCTGGCCTCAAACAATCCCTCTGCCTCGGTGTCCCAAAGTGTTGGAGCCCGGGCATGAGCCACTGCACTTGGTCATGACTGCCATTTCTGATCACTTTCACCTTCAAAGACCTTGGAGATTTGGGTCACCAGCTTGGGATGCCCTTCCTGTACACTCCACATGGCAAAAGCCTCCTACTTTAGTTTTGGAGGAACCTCCATACTGTGTTCCACAGAGGCTGTGCTAATTTACATCCCCACCAACAGTATGCAAGAGTTCCCTTTTCTCCATATGAATTTGAATTTAAATCAAACTATATGTGAACCACTTCCAAAACATTGCCCCTTCCAAGCTGCCATCCCTGACACTCTTTCCCTACCTGACAACCCATTCCCACTGTCTCCCATCCTGCAAATGGTACTCCTCCTTTACATTTCCTCAAATATTAGCTTACATAGTAAGCATCTGTTTATTTATCTCAAGTTACTATTTTGTCTTAATGACAAAAACCACTTCTCCTTAATTTGATACCCAGTGCCTGAGAAAATATGCAATTTGTACCTAAAGAGTACACAGATTTCTATGTTTTAATTTCAACACTTCAGGATTTCAAACCTACATAAACATATTTTCTGTCTCACTGCCATGAATAAATCTTATAATCCTGAGGGTAATTATGCTAAATTACAACTTTTAGAGATTCATATTTATTAAAAGGCTTCCAAACTTTAAAAGTTCAATAATCTGAAATTTGCTAATAAACAGTTGAAAACATGAAAACATAATGCTGAATAAGTTTCATGAAATAATGTGTCATCACAGCAACTTCAATTATTCACTAAAGATAAATGCAACAACATCATAACTGCTAATTTTATTTCTTTTTACTACAATGTTTTTATAACAGTTACCTTTAATCCCTTAGCAAACATTGTATACATTTTTATAAGTTTCCAAATTGGATAAAATAAACATCTTTTCTCAATTCTTATCTAATATTTCTCGATTCAGAAATCATAGTCACTTTCATAATAATAGGTCTTAAAAATATGAAGGTTGAACTAGACCCATCCATTATCTAGGGGTCTTTACTACCATAAACGTTATTTTATTTTGAAAAAACAAATTTGTTACATAAGTTTTTTATTATAAATTTAATGATATGTAAATAAACAAAAGGTAAGATTAACTTGAAGATAACACTACTATACAAATGTATATGGGCCCTAT